AAATAAAATTAGAGTCTGTTTGTATTATCATAATATCAGACAGAATGACAAGAACAAAAATTGTGTGTCTGGTTTATCCGCCTAATCTCTGGAAGAAACGGACAGATTTACAAGGGACTTTCGCGGGCTTGTTTTAATGTTTTAAGGAGTAACTTACTTAGGCACAGCTACCTAACTAAAATATATTCAATCTAATTTGGATGCAATATTCTTGAAGGCAAGATGTTTCCAAGTTTTTTTTTAACCCTATATCTGGTTACCTTCACCTACATTGCAGTAAACTAATCTTTAAAAACTAAAACCTCAGCTCTTGAATACCATTAACCGAGCCACTTCAAGTTCCATTCCAAATTCAAAGTTACAAAAAGCGAACATATGGCGGCGCGCCGGGAGTCGGGCGCCATCGCGCCAGTGATGTCATGGGAATCCACCCGTGAATTACTAATGAGTCGCCGTGCTGTTTTGTACTGTCTTCTGTCCTTATGTACATACAACGGGACATGAGCTTTCTACGAGTGTCCTTTCAGTGAGTGATCTATGAGTAGTGTGCATTCAGTATCAAATAAGACTAATCGATTTTTGTAAGGAGCCTACGACAATGTTATTTATCCTAATTTATTCAGTATTGGAAAGCTTCGGAATTAATAGAAGCAATGATTGTAATTGTGCAAAATTCTTACACTTATTTTAGTAATGCATTTTAAATGCAATAGCTGTCTCAATAGCAATCATCAGTTAGGTACTTCCAAACTTTTTTTTTAAATACAACTCCCGCACTACCAATAAATCCTGTATCGCGGAGGACTTTACAAACATACATGAAACGGACACAAAAGATACCCAGACTCAGAACAACAATTTGTGGATCTGTGTGATCCCATGTGGGGATCGAACCCACAATACTCAGCGCAGTAGGAAGCGGCGAGGTGACTGCTTAAACCGCTACGACATCCGTGCACTCAAATTTTGTCTACATTTTTATGTAGAAGTTCGAACTAATTAGCACTACGTAAGAACCTTCTAACAAATATGGTCGTTAGGGGTGCACCGAAAGATGTATAGGGGTGCTCCGAAAGATGTATAGGGTTGTCGATATGTTAAGCAATGATGGAAAACGGGTATCGATGTCTGTAAATGCTCGCTATACCTATATAGTCACTATCGCATTAAAGTCAGCAGCCAAGTAGCGATAACGGAGATTTTTTTAAATCAGCTCAGAGCGAGTCGAAGTTCAGGTCTCCGCACCATGATAGGTACAAGCGTTAACAAAACGCCGAAAAATAATATTTTTTTGTTGCAATGAATGCATGGGCAATAGAAAGCAATGTCCACTCTGGAAAAATTTAAACTGTCCATTTATTACGGCATATGAGTAGCTGGACAGGAGCGAAGAACAGCGGAACTTAAAGAAGAAGAGTAGCAGGTAATTTATTTACTAAGTGCCGCTGCTTTAATTCGAGGAGAAACATTAGAAAAATTACGGCACAACTATCTTATCTCAAAATTAAAACAATGGCAAGAAGAACAAATTCAAAGTAGATTTGTGTCAAGCAGTTTTTTACGTTCTGTTTGCTTCTATGCATTTTTACGCTTTCACCATAATGAACGAGTCGGAACAATGGCTGTGACTAATCTATATATTACGTCACAATACTGCTGGTTGGGCAATCATTCATTACTGGCGTTGACATCCCTCCTCCTGGTGAGCTTCCTTGAACAAATCAGTTTAGAAAAAAACTTGACGGGTACACTAAGTCTATAAGTGCTGCTCATTGCTTTTGGAGTGAAAAAGGCAGTGAGAGTTGCGCAAAATCTTCAACAGTGTTTAAGCATATTTATAACTAGTTAAATCTTAAATTTTTAAAGTACTTGGGATGGTTTTACCCACAGGCTCTGGATAATTTGAACTGCCGTCCTTTATGATCGAGGTTTTATTCTTGCACCAGTATAAATAGGTATTAGGTAATTACTTGTTTGTAAAACATGCATGTTTATTAGTAACAAAAGTAGATTGGTATCGCAAATACCTAATATTAGCTACGTTAATTCTGTCATACAAGTATGTTACATGGCGCCTGTCTCACAGCCGATCACTGATATGATAAATTGATAACTTATCGATTGGTGACGTCATACTTTCAATTCCTGATGATTCGAAATAACTTAGCATTAAATTTAGTATTATGCAGGAAAGCAGTAGTTTTGCATCTCCTAAAAATGTTTTAGATATCAATCAGTTTGAGCATATTTCCGTCTCCGTCATTCTTATTTCGATAAGGCACTTTAAACAGAGACAACCATATTTTCGAAAAGATGTAACAAGTTCTGTTGGGCCATAAACGCAAAATTGAACGGTAATAGATGAGGTGGATGGTTGTTCCTGGCTACCAGAAAGAAAAGCAATAAAACAGTTAACAAACGGGGGCGGGCAGATTCGCTGTTTCTGTGGACGGTGGACGTTGAGCGTAAGGCTGTAAGGAAGAAGAAATAAAAAATCCCTATGTACTGGAAAAAGAGATAATCTCTTTCGAGAAGGTAGGTAATGCGACACATAAGCTCATCCTCATCTCCTATCCATGAAAGAGCCTCTCCCGTAACTTCTACACATTGTTTAATGCTAGCGTTTAGACATATGATGATTTATAATCAATATTTAATTGGTATAGTTGATAGGTGTGTCATTATTTGCCTATTGATGGTAGGTAAATGTATTAGATTAGGTATAGGTAGGTGGGTTCGAACACGAGACAAGGCTTAACGGCGGCGGGCGCCTGGCGCCAACGGTGCCTCACATTGAATGACGTTCACTTATCGGCATAGCAACTGACAATTATTATCACTTTGAAAATCGAATGTAGTGTCAGAGACAAGAGTGCCATATATGTAGGTCACGCTTTACACCTAAATAATATACCTCAATAAAAGATACATTTCGCGATCTCTTCAAAGCTTACTGCTAAATATGAAAACCGTGCGTAAGTATATAAAGTTTGTACATAGGTATAATTTACGTTATCATAATAATATTATAAACACAGTGGACAAATATTAATTTATCGGTCAATTTCAATCAAGATTACTTACGAAGAATAGTTCTAAGAACTAGATAAGAAGTAGGTACGTGAGCTCTAAACTGCAATACTAAAACGATAGTTGATAGTGTCACAAAAGGTTATCTTTATAACGCGAACAATATCTCGGTGGGGCAGGTTGACTTCATTTGTGACATATAGACATAATAATATGCATACATAACAAAGCTGTAAGCGTTGTACGAATATCTTCACAAAACGAGTACCAATAGCTCCCACTGTTCAGAACAGTAGTGTGTACTGCCCAACAAGCACTGGTACAATAGAAAATAAAAATGACATGTTCTCGTATTCGTCATTTTTAATCGACTTCAAAAAAAGGAGGAGATCCGAAATTCGGATTTATTTTTTATATCTTTCACCTCGGACCTCCGTCATTAATGAATCGATTTGGCTAAATATTTCTTTTATTTGGAGGATATACTTTTTGTTTAATCCTATTCGAATTCTAAGTAAAAATATCACCGTTAAGGATAGAAAGTTAAGGACTGATGTAGGCGCATTGAATTCCGTGATGATACTTTTTTAAAGTTATTTATACCTACTAATTGTCAAATATCAAAGTTACACCTTCATAGTAATATCTATAAGTACTTGCGTAAGCTTTTCTTACTTGGCCAATTGCCGAAAATAAGATAAGTTAGATATTTAACTTAAACTTAACATTTAAAACCATTATATGCAAGTAAATTGATAAGGCATAAATTAAACGGTTTGATAGGCCGTGTCGAAGTTTCCTTTGCCTTGTCTTTTTACTTGACAATGAGTTTTCATATCTGGCCCTATGGTATATACGTAAATAAACCATAGTCAACGTATTTATTAGACTTAAATTAAGTAAAAGTTTAAGTAGTTTGGGACCCCAGCAAATGAACAAACGGAACAATGACCATTGTGGCTATTGTCGAGGGTACATACTGAAATCGAAATAAGTTAAAAACTCAACTCGTTTAGGGCTGCTCAGGTAATTACAAATCCAGTTGAAAAGGCAGTTGTGACGGTCTTATAATGGGGATTAGTAGAAGGTAGGTAAGTATTGTTTTAAATGCAGCGATGTAATTGGTATTGTATTTGTACCCTTAAAACCTTTTATGTAGTATTATACATATTTAGATGGTCCACAATTATTTTCATAGGGTACTGGTATTTTCAAATACTTTTAAAATAGTTAGAGGGTAGGTATTTCATATTTTTGATTACATTGTATAAATATATAACTATAATATTAGTTAGGTAGTATAGGATCTACTCATATTTTTAATGGAAGATTAGTCACTATCTTGTATGTATATGTATGTATTTAAAAAAAGGTATTATTGTAACTTGAGAAACAAGTTAAATTACTTATTATTTAATTAGGTGTTAGGCATCTAACATGTTTAAAATGCATAAATAGTCTCAACAGATTACACGTTTTTCGTGCTTTCTGCTTGAATGCAGGGTCATAGCATAATTTTACATTTCCAATAACCTTTCTAAAAAGGTATTTAAGAGCTATTTTTTGACGTGGAGTTGGCTCACACAAACTACTTACTTACCTTTATAATATTAATAATAGCCATTGCTTGCAGATTCACCTTGTTAAAAGTATCTGCTCTGCTACCAAGTTGTATCCATGTGTTGTATTCAATATAATGCTACAACCCTTGCAAGCAGAGCTATTGCCTTCCTTGCCTTGGAGAAAAAGGCTATTGTCTACGGCCTCAAATTGGGCTATTAAAAGCATAGTATTTTTTAAACCGACTCGTAGTTCCAGATCCTAGCTGCGTTAAATCAAAACAATAAACTCCGGCTTTATTATCGGTTTACAAAATAGGTATAGACTATATACTCGTATTATTTACTTCATTCTTCTTTTATTAACTTAAAGCTTAAAATAAAAACAATTAAACTATTATGCGGTCTTACCGGTCAATCCAAGGTCTGTAGATTCCGACGATGCTTCGGTAGAAGCGACCGATAATTGGTATATAACCAAAAGGAAACACACACAAAAATTAATAACCGCCATTGCCGTCTCAATTAGAACTTAATGCAATTAATAAACACTATTCAGTCACCATAACTACCGCGCTAAACCATTCCATAGGCGTTCATCAGCCCGCAGTCATCACCGAAATATCCACAGTACAAACTAAAAATATCACTTAGGTTGCTAAAATATAATCACAGTTATTGTTATTCACATTTAAATAAGTCACTTAAGGGTTTGTTTGTCGCATATAAACTTTGTTATTGAACTACACGTGAATTTTGTAAAAATAAAGTACGCGATCACAAACGTCAAACACGTTCACGCAACCTGTACACTACGACGATCAAAGCTCGACTGATGGACTAAATGAAAGGAGCGACGGCGTGCGCGATGAGCGAGTAAGCGAATTGCTCGTCACCAAATAGAGATGTGACAAAAACTCAGTATGAATATCGACACTGTTTTTAAATATAATAATATTTTAATTCCTAATACATTTTGACCCAAGTTTAAATGACTTATGTTCTTTCAAACTGTTTGTAATATTTTATTTTCAAAAGAATTTAAAAAGAAAGAATATTTTCATTAGTACTCTATCTTAGTCATATAGATTCCCGTTCCTTATTATTAAAACAATAATAGTGCAAGTACATACATGGCCTGCCCGTGGCTAGAAACAATTCTATAAAGTTCTTAAAACCCTAAATACTCACTACAAAAATAAATTGTTACCATCTACTAGTCGGGCAACTAGTAGTTAAATAAAACCTTAGCTAAAAGGACGACCCTGGACCTCCTAACAAATTTATGCTAGTATGGGGTCAAGAAATCCGTTATTATGTACACACATATTGTGTCAATATTGCACAACAATTGTACAATGTATGCAGTTCAAAATCATAATCTTCATTAAATTTAAAGTGCTAATCGATATTAGACCGTGGTGTTTTGTCGCATCACTAAAGTCTATCAAAAGAAAGCGAGTGTTTCTGTAATGTCATTCGTATTTAATGGATTTTGAACCATATTGTGTTTGGTCATAGGGATAATTTATTTTTGACAACTCCTAGATATAGAGTTGAAAATAATTACTGGCGCCACTTTTTGCATCAGGATGAACATCGTGCGGCGGCGCTAGTAGCTAGCCACGCGGTGCACATTCTTTGTATTTATCCAAGGGAAAAAAAACACTCTGTTGCGACTTGCGACTTAACTTTCTGTGACAAAAAGTTTATCTTTTATAAGTTAGATTACTGTCCTATAGAAATGAAATGTAGATAAAAATATTCTGCAGCATAATAATGCATTAAGTTCAGTGCTGTTGGATTGAGTATTATAGTTAATAATAGCCCCTGTAAAAAGTTTTATTGAAAGGTGAAAACAGTAGAAATTTGAGAATGTTTTTAATTTCGCCAGATATTGTCGTACACACATGTCATGTACACGTTAACAAAGACCCTGTTTAAAAATCCAATGTACCTGTTTATAGTCGGGCTGTATTTTATTTTTAGTCAAGCTTTTGTTATAAATTAAAACACCTCACACACGGCAATCACATCCTGTACTATGGTGACCAGACAGCTAATAAAAATATTAACAAATTTCAAAAAAGTAGAACATATTATAAATATAATATACCCAGACCCAGAACTAATTATTTAAACGTGCTTATCACGTAATTATTTGTTCTAGCTAGGTGGAAATCGAACCCATGACGACCGACTTAGCAGTCGACATCACTAACCACTAGACCAACATGCCACATAAATAAAAGCAAAAGTAGTAATAGCAGTAGCAATAGCGATAAAAATAACGTAGAAAAAAAAACTCCAAAATATAACTTTAAATACCTAAACCTTTTTAAATATTTAATCAATAATACCTATAATTAATTTAAGTCACATATTGTCATCGTAAGCCATAAAATTCACTAATAATAAGTTGTGTACACATAATAAATAAAACAGTGGACGCATTAAAAAAAGTAACGCAGCTTAAAACCCTGAAAAAAAAACACATGCGATGAAAAAAAAAAAACGAAACGAATCTCATGCAACGCTGGCTTTGTTCGAGTCGGAATGCGCACCAATAGGGCCTGTTGTACGCATATTATAGGGTTGCCATCTCTAATGAAAAAAATAATGTTTTCTTAATAAGTGTACGTTTTTTTACATGTAGACTTCTTTACCAAAATTTATGTAATAACTGGAGGCAACAAGTGTAAGTGAATATGAAAAATATCGACGACTCAAGAAAAGACTTATATATAAAAAAAAATCTAATATTCAAGCTCCTATGTTAATCTGACACGCCCAAGTAAATCCCCGACATCTCTTCTAGGGCTCCCCTCCTATAAAAAAAAAAGTTTTAATGTCTAATATTAAAAATAAGTTTTAACTTGAAATCAAAAAAATTAAGTAATAAATTCGGTTAATGCCCGCAAATACATGTAGAATTGTAACTAGTCCAGACCGCTTTATCTGGCTCCTGAAAATTTGATTCCTTAACATTATTGTGAAAAGTACCGTAAAAGTAAAGTACAAATGTTGTGTATAGTTGTAAAAGTGATTAACGCACAGTAAAAACTTGACTATTTGGACTATCTATAATATGTATGTTGGTCTAGTCATCTAGTGATTAATGACCCTGACTGCTAAGCCGGAGGTCGTGAGTTCAATTCTCACCCAGGACAAATAATTGTGTGAAGAGCACGATGATTTATTCGGTGTCTGGGTATACGTTACCTATGATATGTATGTATTTAGAAATAAACAAGTATGTTTATCAGCAGTCCGGTTATCATAGTACAGGCTCTGCCTAGTTTGGAATCAGACGACCGTATGTGATATGTGTGAAGTTATTATTATTATTAATCAGGAACATAAAATTATGTCAATCAGAGGTCTGGTTACCAAAGTATGTTCATGATCTGTCCAATTTGTGATCTTGTGTTTGATATTATTCTGTATCCACCAACAATTAATATTTTGTTCATAAACTGACAACCCTACATTAATAACTCCGATGACTGTTTTCTCCTGTGGTAGTTATATGTTTGAAATACATAAACACGAGGGTTGCCTGGACCCGGTAAAGTCCTTCTTCCAGTAGCCGTCTCATTATCCTTCACCTTTGTACGAATATTAACTATACTAATAAGTGATAAGTTATTATAACAGGATATTTACCATGTTTATTTTCAGGAGTTAGTTTCCGATGTGCCATTATCCAATGATCATCAGTTCATGAATATTAACGTCAGAAAATAATATAATATTATTAAATTTACGAGAGTATTAACCAATATCAATATTATTAAACCGAGGAAGAGCTATGGTTTACCACCAGACATGGAAATTATTCCTACCTTTAAATCATATTCGTTGATGGCGTTGATGAGTCGTAGATGGCGTTGTGTGGATGTGGTAGAATATTATTATATTATATATAATATTATATTTGATGAAATAATTGATTATAGTCACAGCGATTTCACATGCGATTGTGATTTCGTCATAGACAAAGATAAATGGCATTAAAATCAATCAAAATTCTTTTTATCAAAGATTACGACAATTTTTTTGAATAATATTAAGCATAATAATAATAATTATGTAGCAGTGGTTGTAAATCAGTCACAGGTGTGATGATATGGTACAGAAATCATATGATTTATCACATGCGACTGTGATTTTATTCCAAGGCACATACGGGCCGGCTGGTGATGCCACGGCCTCACCAGAACTGGTGTTAAGCAGTTGTTTTTTATTGAATAAACCTCTCCCCCTTTTTTGTTCTGGAGGCATTTAAAGGCTGGCAACGCTCTTGTGACCCTTATGTTGTAGCTCTCCATAGGTAGTAATCACTTTCCCTTATGTGACTTGTCAGCCTGTTTTTTTTCATTCTTTTTAAAAAGACAACTCCCGCTCTAGGAATACATCCTGTATCGCGGGAGACTTTACAAACATACATGAAACGGACACAACGACAATTTGTGGATCACACAAAGTGTTGTCCCATGTGGGATGTGGGGAGCGAACCCACATCATCACATAAACCACTACGCCGTCCGTGCAGTCAGTTTCTCTCCTACATCATAAAAATATCTTGTAAGTAGCAGTATGAGTTAATATATTATTACTGAGTAAAATAAAAACGTCACAAGCGCTTCGATTCGATGTCAACAACGTTCACAAAGTTTGTGAAAGTTAAAAAAGTGAGTGATAAAAATTAACTTATTACCATGGAAAAGCCAATAAAAACTTATTATAAATATTGTGCCGTTCCTTTGTGCCCAAATAATATCAAAACTGCACCTGACAAAGTATATTCAATCATTGTGTTGAGTACACGGGAATTTAATAATTTAACACTGAAAACGTATTAGTTATTAACTTAAAATGAAACAAATAATCACCAGAAACCAAATATTACAAATACACACAACTTGTTGACACTCTTGACAGTATAGGTTGACGTCACGTTTTATTCAACCAATAGCGTTGCGTTTTAGAAATTTGCGAGGGAATTTAAAAAAAAGCCAATTTTTGATGATTAAATTTCACTATTAAATTATAATAAATTTCAAAAATAATTGTATGGGTATCTTTTTTTTAGCAATAAAAATTACAAATAAAAATATTTTGTCAATTTTGGTGTCACGTGCATATTCCCTATTGTTGTATGTTGACCTGTTGCAGTGTTATGGTAAGCTTTTTGTAGAAGAACGGTTGAAGTTATAACAGCCCAAGGAAATGCACCAAAAAACTCACAGTTAATGTATATTAGTTGAATTTCTAGTAAATATTCCTATAAGTACGTTCTATAAAGATGAGAAAGAATATTGGTGCTTAAGCGCTCAACAGAGAACCTCCATAGCGTGGTTCAGAGGCACTTCTATCGTAGGGTTGTATTTTTAAGATGTGAGTAATTTTCTCGTAATTAAAGTCGTTGTTGAGACTTCAATTTTTTATAAACTCTGGTAACCGCTTTAAACCTCCCAAGGGGAGGCCAATTTTAAGTCCAGCAGTGGCCTA